TGTCATCTTTACGAAGTGCTATGAATCTAGAGGGCGTAACTCAAGAGCAAGATCGAGGATATCTTGCAGTAAAACCGTGTAAGTGGAAATTTTAGCGAGACGCAAATGTATTGATTTATCCCCCACAAATGGTATATATTTTTAGCGACAAGTAATTTTAGCGATTTTATAATGTCAAGAGAAATAGCTATTACAACCGATACGGAATAAATTGTTAGCAATATTCAATTTTAGCGATCTCAGGACCCTCGCTTATAATGCCAAAATTGACTCCTCGCTAAAAATTCTGCTCATACGGTATATCCCGTTTGTTGTAAGTTATGAGACAAGCAATGGTATATGATGTCATGCATTCTCTCTAAAGAAGGATGAGTTGACAGTTTGTCTTAAGTACCTCAGCAGCAAATCTTATACGAGTACTTCGATTGGTTCTTCAGATGACCGAGGAACAAGTTTATATGGGACCTTTTTCAAGGAATTACAAACTTAACATGACTTGCACACGTTTTCAGTGGCCTTTGTCACGTTAAGTGCATAGAATGTCTTGTCATGACTCGCTGCATTTGGTTACGAGTAGAGCGGTCAAGTGTTATATGTAGTGCAGTAATTAGTACCTCCAATACGGATCTTGGCTCTGCTATTAATTCTGAAGTGGGTGGAAATGTATTAGGACGACGTACAACCAAAAGGCCATCTCTAGCAATGCTGGCAACAATAAAGTAACGCTTCGCGTCTCTTGTATTAGCTAGTTTTCAGAATGGATGAATATCTTGCTTGAGGTGAGCATAAGTACTTCGCAGATAGGACACTCTGATTCGATGGAAAGCCATCGATTGTTGTGAAATGCAGGTTGACTTTGCTGTTAAATACATCTTGTAAGCACGCAGACCGTGTACAACAGAGTCTTCCGTTTGAGCAATGAAACTGCAGATCTGACACCACCTTGGTTCTGAGCACATAGTTAACAGTCAATAATGAGTCTGTTTTCGTGACTGAATTATAAAAGACCTAAAACACTTTATAGCTGCTGCAATATACATTGCTTCAATTTCACATGGAAGCCATGCTACTTAGTGCTTTATTAATTATCGCAATACATAGTGGCGCCTAGCCGTCGTTTGCTATCAAATCAAAGCTCACCAGATGGGATAGTTAATACGAAGGTCCTTTTCAAGGACAGCTGCTCTTGAGCTTTGTTAAAGTGTCAGCGAAACTCAGCTGTCTATTGTAAATTGTGTTTGGACTGCATTCCTCCTACTAAGTCTTCCAATGGGGTAAGAATATCTGAACAGTTTGGAACAACCCGACTAAGAACTTTACATGCTCCGAGAAATAATCTATGGCCTTCTACTGTCTCAGGAGCACTGCATGAAGATAAGATGGACACCTTCTGTTTGCTGGCAAATATCTTCCTTTATGTCCAGTTCCATCCAATATTGTGGTTGGGCTTGGACATATGATAGTTTCTGTAGGAGACGCGTAAAGCTCACTTTGTGCAAGGGGCTCAAGTACCCATTCCCAGTTGTGGAGCAGTTCCTCCACTGTTTGCCATCCTCAATATAGGTCGTCCTCAAACTTAGCCACACAACCCTCTTTTACTATGTCTCCAAGTACTTTGCACATTAATTCCCCCAGAGCCATTTCGGATACCGATTGATCATTGTACACATTATTTATATGCTTATTCCTCTATAGGCTTTTACAATACAATAGTACTTAAAGGATGGCTTCGAAAGAGGAATCTGATAAAATGCACTTGTCTAGTCAAAGACGATGATGTGTTTCCATTTAGACGATGCGGAGGGTTGAATCGACATCTGGCATGATTGACAGCTGTGATTCACTGTAGGTACCCACATCTTCAAAGACTGTGACAAGTCTGTAACGTTCGTTTGGTTTCTTTGACAAGGAAGGATGGGTTAAGGTATTCAATAGAGACATTTACCTCATCAGGTTTTCTTAATACATCCAAAGTTTCTAATTCCTCACACTTTTGTTGTAATTCCTGTAATTTGTCTCTTGAATATTGTGGCAATCTTCCTTTTAGCTGTGAAGGTTGAACAGGTCCCAAGCTTGTATAACTCAGATTATACAAGTTACACCGCTGTTATGTTGTATCCTTTAAATTTGGAATAAAACTATAGTCATTCTTCTGAATTAGTCTGCAGAATTTTTGAAGATCAGTTGTGCACAGAATATTGTATGGATCAGTATTAACTGTATCTGAGTTGAAATTTGATGAACTTGCTATTATGACAACAATGAAGCTGGGATCTAGTTTGTAGTTACTGCTCTCATCCAAGCCTGTGAATTCTGTAGAAGTTTGGTGAAGCTGGCATAATTGATCATTTTAAAGAGTTAAGCATGGTTCATTAGTGTAATTCACGACAAGTTGATATGTGTGTGTGTGAGAGGGTGTGTGTGTGTGTGTGTGAGGGTGTGTGTGTGTGTGTGTGTGATGCTTGTGGATGTTCTGTTTTCCGTATATCAAGAAAAAGAACTTGTTCAACTAGATATTTAATACGTGTATAATAGAACTACCTGTGAATAATTACTGGATCATGGTTAAGCCATCTTTGAGCTCTGACACTATAGTTTTCTTTAACATTTATTTATTTTTGTCTGATTTAGCCTACAGTTTGAAACTCTGTGTATATATTGACTAAGTATGAAGAAATAACGAGAAATGTTGTAGATATCTTGTTTAAATACTTTCCAACTAGTTATAGGTTTTTGAATAGAGGGGGTTTGAATGAATTATTGGAAGTCTTGCATGAATTAAAGACAAATCAAGCGTGCTTACCGACGCTCTATACCAATCAAGTGCAAAGTTTGAAAACCAGTAACACTTCTCCTGGAACCCTAGCCATCCTGGTTTACAACCTAATTAAAGAAACACGAAAAGGATATATATATATATATATATATATATATATATATATATATATATATATATATATATATATATATATATATATATATATATATATATATATATATATATATATATATATATATATATATATATATATATATTAAAGTAAGGAAATTCATTTGAACCAAGTTATTTATACTCACTTTTAGATGACTGGAACAGAAGGAATAAAATAACTGGTGTAAATTGAGTTCTCATACTGTTTAATACACAAGCCTTCGTAATGATAAAAAAGGATACAAGATAAAACGATTTCAGATTAGAATAACATTTGACATTGTGCCAGTGTTTTATCATTATTTATTGTTATAGTTGTTCCGGCTATAAATGTACGAGATATCGTTATCGTAAATTTTGCATGGAGAGTTTATCGGTTATTTCTTTATACACTTTTGGTCCCTGAGATGTTCCACTATAATCTTTTCACTCAAGTTGACTACGGATACTCGACTTGACTGGGCATTTTTGGAAATTATTTATTCTGGGTGATGGCGGGTATTTGTTCGATAAAGTCTGGACGCCTTGATACTTTAAAAATTAAGAATGTGAAAGGTGAAGATAATGAAAAGTGACCTGATTAATCCAGTAACAAAACAAATCGTAAACAGGACAAAAACACGGACCCTGGAAACACCAGGGATGTGATCAGGTGCCTCGGAGGAGTAAGCAACCCTGTTGAAAAATGATATTTAGATTATATCTTCGAATATCTCTGCTTTAATGTCAATTTTTTACCATTATTGTACCGAATGAGAACAAGAGTGTTTAAATGGTTGATAAGAAAACACTGAAAAAATTACAGGCGACCAATTTTTGAATGCCATGGTTTGTGGTGGACTTTGTGAAACGTAGTAAATGGGGCTATGTACTCAACTATGTTCTCATCCAGAACATCTAAAGATCTCTATTAGAGAATATCAACCTATAGACAAATCCATCCAGAGATTACAGTGCAATCTGCTTCTGGCATGTTTATTTGGACTGTATAAATGAAGATAATACGTTTTAGTGTTATTGAATGATACTGCTACATCCAACTTCGGCATACCCTAACAAAAAAATACTATATTTAACTTTAGTTTACTATAGTTAACTAAAGTTTACTATATAGTATCAAAGTTAAATCAAAATATTTTTACTATTTATTTCTTATTGTTATATTTTATATTCTCCAATTCATACATGCACATTTTTACATTAAACAGAACTATTACTTTTTTATTACTTAATATTTTTAAATTTTTCATCACTGTTATCGAATTTAAGAGATTTTAAGCTTTGAAATCTCAAAAAAGGTTCTAGAGTAAAATTTCATATGAAATCAGTGTATCAAAGTATCACAGTATTTACTATAGTTAACTATAGCTAACTATAATTAATTTTTGTTAGCGTACAACCAAAAAAAGGGGGAGGGGGTTAAACTCATTATGTTTGAATATTTTATTGATGTGCTAGAGTCCTTTTAGTAATATAGCTGAAAATGGATAGTTTGAAATACAGTGGTACCTGTTTTCAAAGACCAAATTCGTAAAAAAAAAAAAAAAAAAAAAAAAAAAAAAAACAACCAAACAAACAAACATTTAAGTCATAATTTGACCCAACGATCGGTTGAATTTGCAAACAAGGTCATTATAATAACGACCATAGACCTATATACAGTACAAAATATATGTATAGGATAAACAAATGCATGCTAGGTATACTTGCAGCTGTACTGCTATACAATATAATTTTTTGAAATTATAGATTGATAGGAATTTATTTACCAGTTTTTCATATATACATTATTTAAGCTAAAAATTGGTAAATGTGCCCATTGATTTTATTTCGTTTATTTTATGTACATCTGTATAATTATTGAAGTTATTCATGGAAATGAAAATAATTTTATAAATCTTTTCGAATAATATCACATTGTGCAAGTGAAATCGAAATAAAAGACATCAGATAGTCTGCCACATCTGTTTTATGTTTGGATGTTTTACTGACTAATAGACGACAACAGACAACTAATATCTAATAGACGACAACAGACAACTAATAACTAAACTATATGACAAACAAGATGATTTCAGCTTTTTCGTCCTCAGCTTTCCTTGTTATGTTGTACTGTTCCACTATCCTGAACGGTGTGTTTATGTGTCCAAACTCATTCGATACGCAAGTGCATGTTCTGAGTACGATCAATATTAAAACCGAGGCTGACTACTGACAAATAAGTTGATGTTACTGAGATTTTAACATCAGCATTTCCAGAATTCTATGGTAGTTATAATGGCCATGTTTGCAAAAACATCCTATCAGTGTGTCTAAATTTGACGACTTATTACATATTAATTGTAAGACCTTTGTTTTATTGCTAAATTTGACTAAAGATTACTACGTCTACCTGATCAATACACAGGTCTCACGGGTATGACAGATCGACAGAGGATGCTTGCTCCTCCTACGCACCTGATCCCACCTCTGGAATTTCGAAGGATCCGTGTTATATGCCGTGTTCATAAATTTACATAGTTTTTTTTAAAAAAAAAAAAAAGATCGATCACTGTTTGTTAACTGCACCTTTTTCATTCAGGAATAATTTGTTTTATGCCCTTAAGTTACTTCACATATTTTGACTTTCGGTGCTTAAACATAAGACATGTTCTTAAATTGTAAACGTTTATCTGTTAAAGTGAAATCACTTGTATTGTCAAATTATTTTATCTTGGTTATGATTTGTTAACTTCTTCGGAGATGAAACAAAGTCATTTGTAGTTGCATTTAGTGTTTTGATATATAGTGATTATAGGTTGGACATGTAATCCTAATAAAGTTGAGTCGTTTGAAGTCTTTTCATAGTCTCTTTATACTGTAGAAGCAAGGTTGCTTCTACTGATATTTAAGTGAATCTATTGAAAACATAGGGACAGCTTCCTTTGACATTCCAAAGAATGTCATCTTTGTTTCTATTTGTTCTTTCATGATAACATGCAAGGTGCAATAACGAGTACACTCGAGTCTGATATCAATAAACGCATTCATGGATTACAGAATGGGTTTCTGGTTCACAAAATAAGGTGATATACATATAAAACAAGGTTAAAGGAAATAGCTCAAAATTTCAATTTATTTACTCATAAAATTTATATACACAATCACTAGTAGTACAGGAAACAAAATGGTCAATTATAATTGACTCGAATACTCAAATAACAAGACAAAACTGAATTTTGAGTAAGCAGCCTACATTCAATGAAATAAATTTTTTCAAGGAATATTGACATAAATCATGACTTCATTATGCAGCTAGAATAGCAAGAAAATTTTAATATTTTCATGTTTGATATAATACAAAGACGTACATGTATATCCAATAAAAATTAGCTTTGTCTTCTAATACTAACTGTTCAAATTTGACAGGTCCAAATAAGATAAACCTTGTTCTTTTGTACAACCAATTTTTTATTCTTATTATGATATATATATATCATGTATAGTTACGCTATTTTGAGAGAATAAGACAATGTACGATTTACTGCTTGTTGTAATTAATTAGCGATAATTAATTCGTTCAATTATGTAAATCGCACTTCACCAGAGTTCACCCGATAGACCGGACGCAATTTATAGCGCTCCGGATTTCTTTGTTCACGACTGTTTATTTACTTGAAATTAAACATGTAACACTGTAAATATTTAGTGTTTGGTAGTTTAGTAGTAGTGCTAGTTGTTTTTGTTTCTCTATTTCCTTTGTTTTTATGACTTCTTAACTTTTTCTTTGTCCTGAGGAAGGGGCAGGTCGTCCCGAAAATTTGACAATTATTATTGTTCGTGTCGTTGGTCATTTTTAGTGCTTTGTATAAATTTCCATCCGTGACCATGTATCTACACTTAGGATATACAGTGTTGTTGGTTTTTAGTGCTTTATATATATATATATATATATACATATATACATATATATATATATATATATACAGTAGACGTATCTAATTCGAAAAACATATTCCTAGATACTACATCTACCCTGACCGATGGTGAAATCGAGTTCAGTCTCCACACGAAACCCACAGATTCCCATTTGTATCTTATGCCAACTAGCTGTCATCCCCCACACACATTTAGGGGTGTGCCTAAGGGTCTAGCCACCAGAATTCGGCGCATCTGTTCATCCCCTGCCTTATATTAGGAACAAAGCGGTCTCCTCAAGTCCCACCTATGCAAAAGAGGCTACAATACCCGCACCGTACAAACTGCTATTGATGAGATGGCGGGACATGACAGGCAAAACCTATTACGCTACAAGGAAAAAGACAATAGCGGCAGGGTCCCTCTGGTAACCACATACCATCCCGTCCTTAAGAACCTCAGCGGTATCCTTCAAAAGAATCTGCCAATTCTCCACTCAAATAAACGAATGGCAGAGGTCTTTAAGGAGCCCCCATTGGCTGCATACAGACGCCCGAGGAATCTAAAGGACATGGTAGTAAGAACCAGATTGGACAATCCATTACCTAACGGGGGCTTTAAAACTTGTTCTGACAGAAGATGTCTTCTCTGTAAGCACAGCTCTGACACAGACAGCTTTAACAGCCCCGTTACAGGCCGCAGCTACAAAATACTAGGGAATTTGTCCTGTCAAACAGACAACTGCATTTATTTCATCAGTTGCAAAGTTTGCTCCAAACAAAATGTTGGTGAAACAGGAAATCTCCGCAGGAGAGTCAATAATCACCGTTCTACCATTAGGACCAAAAAACTCAATGAACCCGTTGGGGAACATTTCAACCTTGAAGGTCACAAATGGGAGGACATGACAGTTGTGGTTATTGACCATAATCCAAGATGGACAGACGCTAAGAGAAAAGGCAAGGAAAAGTTCTGGATGCATAGGCTGAAGTCATTCCGCCCTGATGGTATTAACAAACTTAATGACTTCACCAGGATGAACGTGAACTAGACCCAATCCCGGATTGTAACAAACAAGTTCATTCTCTCTATATAGTGTAAACTTTACCGTTAATTCGCATTAGCAATTCTGGAACAACCTACCCAGATATTTACAGCTTACATTTTTGTGTATTTCTTTTATCCGATTTCCAAATTTATAATATATCCAAATTCATATTTTTAAAATTGCCCTTCCATATTATCTTTCTTTAATTTCTTTTTATCATGTATAGTTACGCTATTTTGAGAGAATAAGACAATGTACGATTTACTGCTTGTTGTAATTAATTAGCGATAATTAATTCGTTCAATTATGTAAATCGCACTTCACCAGAGTTCACCCGATAGACCGGACGCAATTTATAGCGCTCCGGATTTCTTTGTTCACGACTGTTTATTTACTTGAAATTAAACATGTAACACTGTAAATATTTAGTGTTTGGTAGTTTAGTAGTAGTGCTAGTTGTTTTTGTTTCTCTATTTCCTTTGTTTTTATGACTTCTTAACTTTTTCTTTGTCCTGAGGAAGGGGCAGGTCGTCCCGAAAATTTGACAATTATTATTGTTCGTGTCGTTGGTCATTTTTAGTGCTTCGTATATATATATATATATATATATATATATATATATATATATATATATATATATATATATATATATATATATATATATATATATATATATATATGTATATATATATATATATTTATAAATTTGATATAATATAAATATTTTTTATACATATAGGAGGATTTTGTTTCCGTCGGAATTCCCATGACTTCCAATTGCGCCCCGTTATTAGCAGACCTAATTTTGAATTCCTATGAAGCAGAATTTATTCAAAATCTTACACATGAGAGGAAGTATACACTTGCTGTGGCCTTCAACTTGACATTTAGATATATCGATGACGTTTTATCAATTAACAATTGATACTTCTGTTCATATGTCGACACGATATATCCCAATGAACTTGAAATAAAAGATCCTCCAGAGTCTGACACATCTGTTTCATATTTGGATATTTTAATAGAAAAAGACGTTAATGGTGACATATCAACACAATTTTATGATAAAAGTGATGACTTTAACTATATTCTATCATCAAATTCCTCACTCATGTAGCAATATACCCTTTATCACCTGCATATGGGGTTTATATCTCCCAGTTGATTCGATACGCAAGAGCATGATCTACGTACGAATAATTTCTAAAACGAGACAAGCTATTGACAAACAAGTCGACGAAACAAGAATATCAACAGTCTTGTTTAAAATCATAATTTCGCAAGTTCTATGGTCGATACAATGACCTTGTCAGCAAATATAATCTATCATTGAGTATAATGCTGACTGACATTTTTCATACTAATTGTTAGACCTTTTTTTTTTTTTTACAAACTGACTTTTCTATGGATTTTTCCGTTTTACCGATCATGACAGGGAGCACAGAGCGAGTTTGACCGGTCGACAGGGGATGCTCACTCCTTCATGGCACCCGATCTAGCTCACACCTGATATTTGTTTTGCTCCCAGTTTTTATTGTTTCAATGGACATTTGGGCTTAATTACTGTTTGTTCCTTCCATATGTCATTTCAGATGTTCGATATATAGGTACTGTAGGGGTTTTCAGCAAATAATAAGTTTGGAAGCAATGATCGATGAATATTTGGAAGAAATACAAGGTGTTGATTAAATCTTGATGTATGGTGGAATACATCATTTTACTTTTTTGTGATTAAGAATATTACTTATGTTTATTATGGCGTCATTTCCTTTGTTCACAAATTTCAACTCAAGGATCAAACGGATTTCTACAAAATTATTGTCTTCCGTAAAAAAGTGGCAACTTATGATAAGCAACATCCATTATCACAGAATCCAGCCTGCATTCTGGTGTTGAAAAATCTAAAGATAGATTTTCTTTAGACTTTTCATATACATGTAGTATATATAAAATTTTCAAAGGCATTCCTGTCTTCAGTATTTAGTGATCTGAACTTTCAAACTTTAATATAATATGGTATATATAGTTGTTGTAAATAGAGCAAAGGCTTTAAACAGGCTAATTGATTAATGTTCTTACCAACAGGTGGAAATTTTGACACACCATATTTCATCACTTGTATTTAAGTGACCGAGAGTGAAAAGCATGATTATTGTTTATGATATAGACAATTTGTTAAGTATGTGGATGACTGCGTTTGTTCTCGTACATTTTTCTACTGGGATAACCATATCGTCATCAGCAGTGAACAATCAGGTAACCCAGTCTCCTAAAATTATTCTAACATGTGTTTGGTAATGAGTGATTATTGTAAAACTTCCTCTTATAGTTTGACATATCTTACATCTTCATATCACATAGCGATTACTGTTTTTAGAGATTTTACTTTGCTATCCTAATAGAAATTAATTCTGATCAGCATGAAAAACAAACACTGAATAACGCTGCAAAATAAAATATAGCAATAATTTTTGTTTTATTGAGTGACTCAGTGTACAATGTATTCTTGGAAGTCATTTTAAAATTAAGAATTTCATTGTATAGCTAGACTGGGTGTGGGAAAAGGCTGGAGTCCCTAGACAGGACTTTAAATCAGGTAAAAATTAAAGTAATCATATATTTATGAGAAAAAAGAGATAAAGGAATAAAAATAATAATAATAAAAAGTTTTATGTTTCAGATATTGATAGTAAAACAACTCCTGCAATGAGAAGATGGTTTGCAGGATTTTTAAAAGAAAAGGTTGCAAGAGACTTGATTAAGACTGAGGTGCAAATATTAGGTATTCAGTTTTTGAAGATTAATGTTTAACAAATTCACGATTTGATAAAATTTTGAATATCATTTTGATTTGTAAACAAAAATCACATATACAAAAGACATAAATTTGAAGATGGGCGTGTTTGGCGTGTGATCTGCAGAAATAAGGCGTACAAAACATTTGTAGTTAAAATGTCCACTATTTGGTCAGCTGACCACAGCTGGACAGACTTTACAAAGTTATGTACGTGGGAAATTGTTTCATTTGGTTTGAAATACTTCGTCAAATTTAATATATCAGTCCACTTATCTGAATAATTACTACATGTATAACTTAGTACGCTTCACATAAATAATAAACACCTTTAGGGTATTGTTAAATGCAATTACAAGTACAATGGACAAGTGTATATTAACAGTAAGTTGGAAGAATTGCTTTCGCTTTCAGTGCAACAGAACCAGAATTTATCTATTTTAAAATAAATCAGTTCATAAAATTAAACTAACAAAAGAATTGATTGTACTAAAAAATATTAACGCTCCATGCGAGGATCGAACCAAAAATATATCTTCTTCATTGCACTGGACGGGTAACGCATACTCCTGAGCTATCATCGCTACACACATTGTACATATTTTAAAACGACAATGAAGCACCGGCACTTACACATTGGAATTTTTGGGGGAAAAGTTCATTTTTGATCGTCTCTGGGTCTTCCCTCCATTTTTTTTTTTTTTTTTTTTTTTTTTTTTTTTTTTACAAATGTTTGTTTCTTTGAATTAAGGACATACGCAACGTAGTTTGAACTTTATTGTCTTTTTCCCTGGATTTGAAGAGTTCCGATACTTAAAGGAATTGTGTGCTACATTTTTATGTCTATATATGCTGTTGTACGCTTCTTCTAAAACAAGTTTGGATAAACAAAACATCTAGAATATATGTTTAGTAATTTTTGTGTATTTTTCTTTGAATTATACAAAAAATTTCATCAATTGATATCTTTTCAAAACCCCTGGTAATGCATGCTGATCTTTTGTCTACGAACTTCTGATGGCACTATAATCTTAAATTAAGAATATCTTGAAAATTTATCAGTAGGTAAGGTACGTTGCGTATGTCCTTAAACTGCATACAAATAACGTTTCAAAATCATAGAGAGATGACCCAGAGATAGAAAATTCTTAGAAAAACTTGTTTAAAAATGTAACATTTTGTACCAAATGACTCATCTAGCCAATTTTCAAGTTCTTTTTTAGCAAATCGAAATACAATATCGGGAAAATTTCCCCCTTTCCTATTTCACAGGAACCCAAAACCTCAAAAGAATGCTAAAATTTCATGTAACAGATCAATGAAATTTTCACTTTTCAAGTGCGCCCCGATTCCTGCCGAATGCCAGTCAAAAGCGCCCTCGTTCTTTAAAGGTGCTTAGTCACAGATTTGAAGTTAATATTTTCTGAAATTTTCTGTATAATTTCATGACTTTATATGTTGCAATAGCATTTCATACTAAAATATAATAAAATTCTTATTTCATCTCGAAGTTATTAAAACTTCGAATTTCTGGACGCGTTGGATTGACACATCCTTGCGCTTTAACATATTTAGGTCACCTGAGTCACTCAGGTGACCTATTGCTATCCGTTATTGTCCGTCGTCGTGCGTCGTGCGTTAACATTTAAACATTTTCAGCTTCTTCTCTGAAACCGCTCAACCAATTTCAACCACTTTTGGCATATAACATCTATGGGTGAAGGGGGATAAAAATTGTGAATTTCATGGTCCCTGCCCCCCTGGGGCCTGAGGGGTGGGGCTAAAACCACCAAAATTAATGCAATCTTTAAAAATCTTCTTCTTTACTCCTGGACACCAAGCAGTCAAACTGTTGACATGATTGTAATAAGCATTGAGCCCTCTACCAAAATTGTGAAATTCATGGCCCCAGGGTAAGGGGTTCTGGTGCTAGGGTGGGGCTATATAGATCATATAGTGAAAGTGCATTGTTTCTTTGAAAATCTTCTTCTCTACTCCTGGGTATTATTGAAACAAATTAAATACATAGTTATGATAAGCAAGAGTGACTCTACCAAAATTTTGATATTCATAGCCCCAGGGTCAGGGGTTCTGGTGCTAGGGCGGGGCTATATAGATCATATAGTGAAAGTGCATTATTTCTTTGAAAATCTTCTTCTCTACTCCTGGGTATTATTTAAACAAATTAAATACATAGTTATGATAAGCAAGGATGCCTCTTCCAAAATTGTGAAATTCATGGCCCCAGGGGTCAGGGGTTCTGGTGCTAGGGTGGGGCTCTATTTATTATATAGTGAAAATGCATTAATGCTTTAAAAATCTTCTTCTCTGCTTCTTGGTATTATTTAAACAAATTAAGTACATTGTTATGATAAGCAAGGATGCCTCTTCCAAAATTTTGATATTCATGGCCCCAGGGACAGGGGTTCTGGTGCTAGGGTGGGGTCATATATATCCTAAAGTGAAGGTGAATTATTTCTTTAAAAACCTTCTTCTCTGCCCCTGGGTATTATTTACACAAAGTATAATTAGTACATTGTTATGATACACAAGGATGCCTCTTCCAAAATTGAGAATTTCATGGCCCCAGGGTCAAGGGTTCTGGTGAAAGGGGGGGGGGGCTCTAATGATTATATAGTGAAAAAGCAAAATTTCTCTGAAAATATCCTTTTCTGCTTCTGGTTAGAAAGCAAAGAAGCTAAGTGTATAGTTATGATGAGCAAGAGTGCTTCTTCCAGAGTAGTGAATTGCATGACCCCTGGGTCAGATGTGCTGGTGTGAGGATAGGGCTCTTGATAATATAGTGAAAATGCATTAATTCTATTAAATAATCTTGTGATAGTTTGTTAATTTACTGTATGGTGAAAGTGTTAAATGGGGAACATATTAGAACCTAATTTATGAACTGTAAATGAATGGTAGACTCATTACTTTTTTGATCCTGATCACTCTATTTTTCTTGCTTTTGGGCAACAAAGCTTCACCTTTCAGTTTATTTTATACTCTATGGATTCTCTAAATTGTTGTGTTGTACTCAGGTGACCATTAAGGCCCTTGGGCCTCTTGTTTAATTTTATTCTTAATACTGAAGAAAAGTGGCAATTCTGTTGTGTATTAATGAAAAATATTAAAACTATAACCCAGAAAATTCAGAGTAGAAATGTTCGAAAGCAAAACCCACTCACAGTATTGCAAGTCCGTGCTCAGTGGTGTGTGCAGAGTTTAACAATTGAACACACCCGGTGAATCGTTAACTTTAACAGAGTTCGTGCCCTGTTTACAAAAACAGGGGGTGGGGGGGGGGGGAGGGGGCCGCATTTTTTCTGCGTATAGTATTTTTCTATCTTAAATTTTTCCTTTAGATGCTGGTTGCAACCCCCCCCCCCCCTCCCCACTTTTTGTCGATGAATGGTCGAGTACTGGGAGGATTTGGACCGTTGATTAGGGGTTTTTTTGGTCAGTTTATTTTTGGAAGTTCCTCCTCCCCCTCCACTTCATTTTCTTTGGTCAGATTTTTTTGCCCCCCCCCCCACCACCACCACCACACACTTTTGAAACCGTTGCTACGGACCTGAATTTTCATGCCCATATTTTAAAAAAGCAGCTATACGAAATTGATATCAAATATATTGAATGCATTGATCTTTAAATATATTCACGTTTTAGAACTTATGCATAAAAGCGAGGCGGAATGTCAGAGAGGAAACAATTCGTTTGATGTTGTAAAGGACTTTCCATCACCTGAAAATCGTATCAAACTTTCAAAGAATGAAATCACTGTCCTTAAAGATCTACTGCGTCGACTCGACATCATAAAGGAAACATTGATAAGTATGTTACATAATACAGGTATGATAATAAAAACATACAGGTATGATAATGAAACTATGATCGTTGGAGCTTGATTTTTTTAGTAAGTTATGAAGTGGCGAACGTTAGTGCATGCTATTGCTTAATGTAGAAGTTAATGATAACGAAGAATGATCAATCTCAAAAAATCCACAAACAATACGAATATGTGAAGAGAGCATAAAACACGGACCCCTGGTACCTATCACATTTTGCATTATATATCAAAATACATAAACATATGGGCATCAAACTAGGTTCAATCAGTAGATCATTTTCCCTCAAGGATTCCACAAGTCTACAAGTCCAACTAGTATATTGACATGCCAGCAAATTCAAAGTCATTGGGGTCTTACTACTGCAAAAATAGGAGCCACTTCGGGAAGGGATCCGTCATTATTCTTGATTTTCAGTAGCTTGCTGTAAACAAGTTACGTAATAATGCAGTACACATTTGAATCAATTTAAACATTACACTAGGATAATTTTTTATGAAACAATGACATCTCCCCGCGCTTGACAGCAACAACCGAGATTTACATTGTAATTTTCTGCAGATTGAAAATCGTGTTATGCTTGTTCGATTTATGTTGTATGTACATGTAACTAACCTGGCTAAAGATTAGGATGGTTTGGAAATGGTAAATCTGTAATATTAAATGATTTGATGAATTTTTTTTAACACAAGTCAAAATTTATTTAGATCGTCTATGTGGCAAAAGCCCTATGTTGGACAGACTATTAAAATGTATATATTGAAGAAAATAGTTTCCTTCCTCCGCTTAAAAACTTTTTTATGATGAGTATCAGTCCATTATTCAGAGGAGATAATTAGATGTAGAGACAAAGTTTGTATCAGAGGATCAAAAATACTTGGATGCAGAGAGAAAAAAGTTAAGTGAAATGTGAAATGTACTTGTTTTATTTAAACTAAAAATCAATGGAAATATTGCTTGAAAACGAGTATTCATCCGCATACATTTTTGTAGAGTCAATGCAGGCAGTGAAGACACCAAGATGTTTAGAGAAGTGTCAGGCAGGTAAACATAAAAATTTCCATTATGAGAGAGAGAGAGGGAGATGCTGTCTCCTCTCTCTCTCTCTCTCTCTGTGTGTGTGTGTGTGTAAGTACAAGTAAAAATATCTATTTTTTTAACATTTACGATAAAGTCATAGACACTAAAATATAACGGTATTCATTTACCAAAGGAATCGCAGCACATTAAAATTAAAACACATACATTAACAGGATAAAAATGTTTTCTACTTATGTTTCCAATAAGTGTATGTTTTGAAACCACTTCATTAAATCAAACTAAAATTTTTGATATCGTCCTTTATCAAAATTTGAAACCCTAATGCTTAAATAAATAAGGTCACATGTTAGATTTTTGTGTTTAATTTTTTATGAAAATATAAAATTATATAGGGGTGTCTTCGAAAAGTGTATCTCGCTTTTATCTTTCAATTCTTGAACACAGTATCTTTCCTTTTTGAATTGTTAAAGTGTACCTGTTAGTATGCTGTATCATAGTACGTCTTAAATATAATTTAAATTTTTACATGTATACTGTGAAATTAAGTAATTTGTAATCCCATTTCTGTATTCTAAAATAAATGACTAATAATAATAACGTCTCTTTATACAACTAATGTTAACGAAATATTTAAGTGTTTTATCACTGAGTTTTGTTGATGTTACAGTGAGCAGTCTTATGAACATAGGGAACCGTGTCTTTGATTTTACCAAAGAATTTCATCTTTGTTCTTGGATGACACAACACGAAAACTTAGAAAAAGTACAAGGTAACAAAATAATTTAAGATAACTATGAATTAATCATCTTAACAAAATACAAGATAGAGCTGAGCTTAGAATAAACATTCCAAGCTTGCAAATATCTTGATAAAAAGATGTCTAATGTTTGAATGTAGATTATTTAAGATAAAATTACATAATTTTATGCATTTAGTTAGTTAAACTCAACTCTGACTTACTTTGGTTTGCATCATTTTATGTACACAGAAATGTCCTCCGTACAAGACATATCATCCTCCGCCATGTTAGATATTCTACTGGTTTTGTCAGACAATGCTGCTGTAACTGAGTACCTAATGATGGAGTATATGAAAGACATACGAGGTAGTTTTTAGAGCTGAAACGAATGTTCGAATATTCGTGAATGAATAGTAAATGTCGAATATTGATTTTCGTATTCGTTTCAGCTCTAGTATTTTTTCACAACAAATCCTTAAAAAAAAGTTTTATAAATATTTTTTTTTTTATTTTAACGATGCTTTAATTTAAATGATTTATTTATTATATGTTGCTTTAGTCCCATTGGAGATTTTTTTTATATAGAGACGCTACCGTATGCCAATTAAAGGCTTCAATTTAATATTTATACTCGGTAATCAACAGTGAGAAATATTTATCGTGACAAAAGAGGTCCATTTTTAAGGTCTCATCCGAAAGACCCGTGACTTTCCCTTCTCATGCAGAGCGCTTGGCGAAGGAATATTTACGTCATAGGTTTGACTCTGCGCGGCATAAGAGAATCGAACCGGGCCTCCCGATCACGAACAAATGCCCAACCACTAGGCTATCTTGACCAGTCAATAAAAACATAGCTATCTGCATGTCAACAAAAATAATTGTGAATTTGAATTAGAGCTGTGGCATTTACCATTTGAGACAAGGATATGTATCCTCTTGAAGGCAATCACTTATCTTTCACTACTTTTTGTTCTTATTTTATGCATTACAGATTTTGAACAGAACAAGGCGGAAAAGAATATGAAATTGAAGACTGAATAATCTTCAAAGATAAATCAATATTTCCGAGGATTAGAACTCTTTGTTGTTTCAAAGAAATACGCAGACATTTTGGTGATACATTTCTTTTGTCAATATTCCTAACAACCTTATTTATTTTGGATTACCATTCCTATATTAGATTCCAAATAATAATTCTCACAAACATACATAACGGGATCAACCAAGCCCCTTTTTCTTTACTACTCATGAAAACGTGAACAGCAGTGAATAATTAACTTCAGCAGTGTTGTGAAACAACGTATTCGAGACGTGGTGTCAATCAAATGTGTATGCTTGAAAACCAAAGAACATATTTTAAGAAAAACGAAATCACTAAAATTTCACCAAAATCAATAGCATCAAAACGTATGACTTTTCAATACTTTTTATCACCATACGACCATTCCCCGGATGAATTAAAGACCAGGCTTTATGACATCATAGACAATTGCTTTTTCAATTGGAATGGAACTCACAAATTTTCCTACCTTTTCATTGGTTCATCTGCAGACTTTCTTCGTTATAAACCATTTGAAACTAAACACGAATAATCTGAAGTTGTTAACAAGAAGATGCTCTTATATTCTTATGAAGCAGAATTTATTCATTTCATAAAACAAGAAAGGCTATTGACAACAAAGTTGATGATACAAGGATATCAACAATCTCGTTTAAAGTAAATTTTTCGCAAATTCTATAGTCGATATACTGACTTGATTGCAAAAACAGTCTGTTGTTAAATCGAATGTTGATTGACTTCTTTCATACAAGAAGTTAAACCATTATTTTTACTATGAATTGTTTACGGAGTTCTTCGATTACCCGATCATGAAAAGGGGCAATCGGCGGGTGAGACCTGTCGACAGGTATCCTAACTCCTCCATGGCACCTGATCTTATCTCTGTTTTCAGTGGTCTGCATGTGTGGCTCTGCTCACAAAATGTATTGTCTAAATGGAATTTATTTATGATCTGTGTTCGTTATCTTTACATTTCATTCAAAAACTTCTATATGAAAAGAAGAAGTCTCAAGTAAAACTTCAATTTGAAATTAAGATATTATGATGATATTTTATCAAATAATCAAATTCACCTTTTTTATACATTTGTCATTAATGAAAAATCAACAACAAAATTTTATGAAAGATGAGATAACTTAAAATTTTCTGTTGTGAAATTCTCTTATTCATGTTTCAATATACCATTATCACTTGCGTAATTATCTTGTTAATGTCTTTCAGTCAATTCGACCAATTTCTCACAAGAGGCAGACTCCTGACAAATAAGTCAATATTACAAGGGTATTAGAAAATGCGTTAGAGTCAGGATTTCGCAAATTCTATAATGGATACATTGACCTAGTTTGCGATTAAAACCCATACATGTAGTTAGGTTGAATAGTGAATAACATTTTGAATTCAAATTGTTAAGTTATAATCTCCATACCAACCGAATTGACTACAAATTTCCATTTAACCAAACAAGACAAAGGATCACTGCGGCGGAGTTGAAAGTGAATGCCTCTATTTCCATATAACCTGATTCAGGGATCCGTGATTGCTCTGCTCTCTATTTGCATTGTTTATGGGACCTTTGAGCCTGATTGCTGATCATTCTCTTCATTGCTCAATGTTGTTCAACCATAACCCTTGAGCTACGATTTGGAAAAAAAACCCCTTTAAACTTACATTATCTGAGGATTGTCTGCATATTAATGTGATAAATCAGGCTCCTGTTGTTCTAGACAAAAAGTTATTTAAGAGTTTTCCCCCTGTGTTTCCATGCAAAATTTGATAAATTATGGCTTCACAACCTAATTAAAGAAGCAGATAATGTAACATATAAATTATCATGAAGAAATTTGAACATCGTGTTTATAATCAAATTCAGGACACTGGAACAAAAGGAAGAAAATAATTAATGTAAAATGGGCTCTCATATTGATCAAAACCATGTTCCTTGGTCTTGTGCTAGGCTAGGTATGGTACGCTATTGTGTCAAAAACATATTCTACAAGAGCAACAAATAAAAGTACGACCAGTTACAAAATTTATAATAACTAGAGAAATGCACATTAACAGATTGAAATTTACACAAGATACATCTTCCTCCGCCATGTTAAATATTCTATTAGCTTTGGTGACAATGCCGATATATGCAAGATTTATTGATGAAGTGAGTGTACATGAAGGACCACACAACTCTCCTGATTCCAATCTTAAAGCATTTTTCCGAAATTTATTTTATTCTATGTTGTTTTTGGAGATCAAGTCTTCCAACAATCTATCGGAATTCTCATGGATACTAATTGCACCCTTTTTTTTAATTAGCAGACTTATTTTTGTATTTATATGAAGCAGATTTTTTTTCAAAATATTCTACATGAAAAGAAGTATCTTGCTGTGGCCTTCAATTCAACATTTAGATATATGGATGACGTTTTATCTATTCACAAATTCATCTTCATTCCTAGATTGATTTGATATATTCCTTTGAACTCAAAATATTAGATACCATAGAGTTTGATACATCTATTTCATATTTGATTATTTTACTAAAAAAAATAATGGTAATCTGACAACAAAACTTAATGATAAACGTAATGAATTATATTTTTCTATCGTCAACTTCTCTTATTTATGTAGCAATATACCATTATCAATCGCATATGAAGTTTATGTCTCCCAGTTGATTCGATACGCAAGGGCATGCTCTACGTAGGAACAATTTCTAAAACGAGGCAAGATATTGACAAATATGTTGATGAAACAAGAATATCAACAGTCTTGCTTGTAGTCAAAATTTTGCCATGGCTATTTTCGATACAATGAACTTGTCAGCAAATACAATTTCTTATTAAGTCGAATGTTGAAAGATGTTTTTCATACAAATTGTTAGGCCATTATTTTCACATTGAATTTCGACGGATTTTTCGTTTGCCCAATCATGACAAGGAGCACACGGCAAGTGTGACCTGGCGACAGGGGATGCTTACTCCTTCAAGGCACCTGATTCCATCTCTGATGTTTTAGAGGTCGGTGTTTGATCTGCTTAAAATGTGTATTGTTTCAATGGACTTTTGAGCTTGAATACTATTCTTATCTTCATATTTCATTTCAGAATTCTTTTGTCATAATTTTTAAAATTATCAACCAGTAACTTCATGATTTTGTGCTTAAAACGATATATTCATATTTATTTACATTTACTATTACAAAATTCAGGAATAGAGTATTAAAATACATTGGATTTGATAAATTGTCTCGTCTCTCATTGATGACAAAAAGTAAAGCATCCTTAGGCTCCATTCCAATTAAGTACAGAGTTTGGAATCGGTAAAACTGGAACTGCAGCAATCCTGATCTACAACCTAATTAAAAATGATGAAAAAAATCAAATTGATATTGACATGAGAAAATTCAAACCAAGTTGTTTGATACTCACATGCAGTTGACTAGAACAGAAAGAAAAAAATATCAAGGTAAATTGAGGTGTCAAAATTATTTGAAATGATAAGAAAATAGTAGACAAGACATGTAAAGTAATTCGTACTATTCAGATAAAATGTAAATGTTTGCTATTAATTTATCGCTTTCAGAAACAATTTGTTTAAGGCTCAAAACAATTGTTTTAGTTAATCGTTAATTTCATAGTCACTGGTGCTTTAAGCCGAAGTTCTTCTAAAACTCCGAAGTTTCATCTTCTACACTTAATTTGGGCAAGAAAATTTAAACAATGATATGCGTTGTACTGAACTGAAATTGTCTCTTTATGAGATTTGTAGATTTATCCGGAATAAACCTTTGATTAAGCATGCAGTTTAAGCAAAACATATCATTATTATACAGCTAACGGCAATTGCAATATTCATATCACATTTCATTTAAAATAAAACTTGTTTTCATACAGAATCTTTTTGGATTTCAGTTCAATTCTAATCATGACAAGAAAGAGGGTAATAATGCGGAACGACTTATAGGCGAATATTTACGGTGCTCTAATTAATGACAGCCTCTAAATCTCGCTAAAATAATATGCTATATATGCAGTTTTATGTTTACGCAATGTGTCTCTGCATACCTTTGTTACTATTATGTTTGTTTGGTTTCTTTTTCTCGATACATTTAATCAAAAACAGTAATTTGTATAACTACTTTTTTTGTCTCATTGGCTTCATAAATTACTCTATTTTTGGTACTTTACATTAGTGTTTCAAAGCTGCTATAAATTGTCAGAAAGGAAAGGAGTGAAAAAATAGATCTTAATGAAAACATAGGGAAATCATAAAAAAACCCCAAAATATTTGAATCATATTATGCATAGAGAATTTTAGAATTAACGATGTTAAAACTCGAAAGAAGTGGAATCTTTTAAACCACTCTCTTCTAAAAAAATCTATTTTTATGAACATTGAAATATTTATGACTATTAAGAAAAATGAAAATGTATCTTAGCATATAAAAATAAATAATTAAAAAAAAAACAACCGGGAAATTACGCAACCAAACAGGTGGTTACATACACATATAAGTAGTGATTATTCACCTCTATATGCTATTTTTCCATAATTATTTCAAAGAGATATGTAATTTTTTTTTATATGTATTAGAATTATAACTTAAATGATATTCACTATGTCAATATGCTACTTAGATATCATTCAAGAATTTTCTTTTTAGAGCATTAATATAAGAGGTATTGAAAATGGAATTAGGAATGCTTTTTAAATAAAGGTTGTATGGTTTATTATGCTTTTAAACATCTATGTAACTATAGACAGGAAAATCTTATTATAACTAGGCAATTCTCTCTATGAGTAAAGAAAAACAATTTTTAAAACATTTATATGCCATATTGAGCATAAATTCATATAAAAGATCAAACTGATTTAGTATGCAGTTTGTTCATAAATGATTATCTCTATGAAGCCGATATCAATGCATTACTGATACCATATTTCTCTTGATATTTGGAATATAAGAAAGATATATTTGGACTAACTGTATTATCATTTTGGGATTTTATATAAAGACTGTTCTTGACATGAAGAAAGTTCTTCTGCATTTCATTTTAATCATTCATGCTATATCAATTACAACGACGATATCACGGTATCAATTACAACTGCGATATCACGGTATCAATTACAACGGCGATATCACGATTTCGTAGGAAAGACTCTTCATCAAAATACAGTTATAATCAGTGCAAGTTTCTAAGAGTCTATAGTCTGATTCACTGTGCGATATTTTGTGTAGAAATGAAATGTGTGACCTACTTTTACAATCCATTTGAAGAGTTTTGCTATTGGGGTTGTACAGTGACGTATTCTCCAGGAATTCTGGAAAGCGATTGGCAGCAGTATGGTTTGTACCTAAAACATTCCATTTAACGCTGTTATTTCTACTAACACTTACTAACAATGGTCTACCTCTTCTGAAGTCTTAATGTTATTTTTCTAAAACTCTTAAGCTGAATGTTCTTGTCCGTCAAGCTTGAATAATAGCATTGTTTTCTTTGCTGAGCCAATCCCAACCAATCATCCGAGATTTCATTCCTTGGTGAAGGGAAATAACTGTAAATTTCCGGGGTCTTGAAAGCTTGAATTAGAATTTCCGATCTCCTATAATCCTGTACTTCTTTCAAACATGTTCTTAAAACCACGTGTAAAAGTTAGGAAATTCGTGTTGCTGTGTCAGAAGTCATACCTAGGTTTCCTCTGCGCACTTTTGTATCTAATAGACAAACATGATGTATAATCTGATGATCCTACCATCAAAAATTGATTTTATGCTTCATTGTACGGCAAGTGTGATTAATTGAACTATTTATTTACTTTCTTTTCTAGTCGGTCAGCTGACCATCAACATATATAAATCTACATAAAAATGAAAGAAATAGTTTAATCAATTAGTTATTTAAACAGATTAACGTGTCATGATTTTTTTTTTGTAATATACACTATTATATATATTTTTCACACTGTACAATCAAATATTATATTGTGGAACATTAATCATACGATTCCTGTATTCTATACACCTTCTAATCTTGTAAAAGCAACAGGATGTCTTTTTCTTTTACAATCGGTAAAAGTGTTTTATTTGTGAAAATGCTTGAGTTTTATAAATACGAGTTTAAATGGCAATACTAAAGTATTTGTGCCTACAATGACTCTTTAGATGGAGTTTTAAAATATTTTTTTTTTTGAATTTTTATTTTCATTTTTCAGGTTCAAGCACCGCTTTTATTCTAATGTATCACAGTTGCATCTTATTGCATATATCATTATCATGAGTTTATCAACTTTAAATCCTTAATACCTATCCATTTCTAAGATCCTTTTGATATATTTTTCTCATGCTTCTCTGTAATAATATCTAAATAACAGCACGTGTATCAAATGTATACACTTACATCTAAGAATGTATGATCTTTTTTGGTTAGAAACTTTTCATCCATTAGTTTTCCCCTGTTAATTTCAGAAAGATACTCAACAAAAAAACGCCGCGTTGGGGCAGCCTGCACATTCGTCGTCCACATATTCTCTTGACAAGGGCGGGTATGTGGCAAGTTGGGCTGTTGATGGGAAGATTGCAAACCTTGAACTGTGTTTTATTTCCGATTTTGAATTATCACCCTGGATTCAAATTAACTTAGGAGGACATTACATCATATCTTTTATAAGATTATACAATAGACAGGATGTCTTAGGCATGTTAAGTTTAACAGTCAAACTTTTATATCAGTGAAAGCAGTAAAATATACAAATGTAGCAGTAATATATACAAATGTAGCAGTAAAATATACAAATATATCAGTAAAATATACAAATGTAGCAGTAAAATATACAAATGTAGCAGTAAAATATACAAATGTAGCAGTAAAATATACAAATGTAGCCTTCTGATGATGTCAATCACTAGATATAACAGCCTTAGAGAAAGAGAATCGATCGAACACGTTTTAGCAACACTCTGTCATCATCAACTATTGTGATGTCATAATTATTGTTATTGAACAGAAGATTGTTTAATATTTTAGAATTATACAGTCAATATATGCATTTTGGAAGCTTTTAATAGAAACAGTATGCCATTTTATGCTTGATCATGTGATCTTGTTAGAGTCAATCAGGGAGCTGTGAACAAAAGAGAAAAATATCAATATAAAATTTAAAAATTAATATGCACTCTGTGATTTATATAAAGATAAAAAAATCTTTGTAGGATACGTACCCTTGCAGGGAAGTATGACAAAGTAACAGCTCCAAAAGAACAGCAAATCCAATACACGCTTTTTTTTTTTTTTTTTTTTTTTTTTTTTTTTTTTGTATTTTATATTAAGAGAGTTATACAAAAAGTAGGAAGAAAATGTCGTTCTCTCTCATATAAATTTTAGAAAATGCTTACAGTTCCATGGCACCTGATCCCACCTCTGATGTTTTAGAGCTCTGTGTTTATTACTGTTTGTCATCTTCATATTTTATCAACACATTATTATATGCCAAGAAAAAAAAATTTAAAAAAAAAATAATTTTGCCGATGTATGCAGTTTCATTTCAGTTGATCAATTGGAACTCATGTTACCGTTTTTTTTATGTACCATGATATTTTGTCACTGATGAGCATTCTTTCAATGTAACGTCAAAAACATAACGTTATGACGGTTTCTTTTTCTTTTTTTAAAAACTCCCCCATTTCATCCACACACAGCCTGTGTTCCTTACCTATTTATTAAATAAAGTTCCTATAGTACTTGACACTTAGTTTGCGAAAGATTATTCAAGTTTCTTAATTATTTCGTCAGCGTTTCATTTTTTTTTATTGCATAACCCGCTTTTCACAAGTTCCACAAAAATGAGCTTTCTTCACCGTCCGTGGCGTTTCTTAGTTAACGCTTTTGACCAGAATTTTTGCTGATAATCCATTTCCCTTGGACATCCACTGTTCGATGGAGTCTCTAAATTAAAAAAAATAAACTTAGCAGCATTTAAATAATGCACAGCTAACTTCTGATATATTTCTTGCTTCCACCCAAATTTTCTGAGTTGTTTTGGAGTTTAACCAATTGTAAAACAAAGGCACTACTCGCAGTCGTGACGTACATGTAATGCGACGTCATTCTTTTTACCCTTTTCAATAAGGGCTACATGTCTTCTTTAATTGATTTCTGTTCAACGAAGCAATATATGACATAAATGGCAGATAAAATGATGTGTCAATACACGGTTCGAGTGTATGATTTTAACTTTGTTTTAAAACCATTTTAAAGAGATGTGACTATAGACATTATGTAGTGTATAGTGAGTACATTTTGACGTTCTTCCTGACCCAATTTTCGTAGCATTAAAGTTCAAATAATTTTGAAAAGTATCATGATATACGTTTGAATTTTCTTATTCAAATTACTTGGAGTTCTTGTATATGTAGCGCTTTATGCATTTTAAATAAAAGTATTAATGACATAAAATTAATTACACGATTTATTAAAAAATAACATTTCAAATTTCTTAATTTCTTTAAGAAGAGCGTCTTCATGACTTGTCATTGTTGGTGTCCCAGGACGGCTACAGTTTTACAGTTTGTGGATTCTTTAAAGGACCTGGGATAACCAAACAAGTTGTGGAGATATTATGTGAAGATAATGTACTTAGAAACATTGTGAGACTGCAGATTACAGATGGTTTAAATAATATTCTTTGCTTGTGTGAGATTGAAGTCAATATTTCTCTATAAATACAAAAGGATTGATAATTTTTATTAAATTCGTTGTTTAATTACAGTCACAAAATTTTTTTGAAATAAAAAATTAAAGTTATTTGTGTATGAAAAATCGTGAAATGTGATTTCGTCAGCTTCTCAATAGTCAATTGGAAGTTCTATTTATTCAGTAATATTCCACTATCAAATGCAGAATTTGTCCAAAATCTTGTACGTGAAAAGAAGAAAACACTTGCTGTGGCCTTCAACTCGACATTTAGATATATCGACGACGTATTGTCAATTAACAATGGCTATTTCCATTCTTATGTCGATACGATATATCCTTGTGAACTTGAGATAAAAGATACCACAGAGTCTGACACATCTGTTTCATATTTGGATATTTTACTTGAAAAAGACGTTAATGGTAATCTAACAACCAAGCTTTATGATAAACGTGATGACTTTAACTTTTCAATCGTCAACTTCCATTACTTATGCAGCAATATACCTTCATCACCTGCATACGGGGTATATATCTCTCAGTTGATTCGATACGTATGTACAATTTCTAAAACGAGGTAAATTATTGACAAATAAGTTGATGAAACAAGAATATCAGCTGTCTCGTTTAAAGTCATCATTTCGGAAGTTCTATTGTCGATACAATGACCTTGTCAACAAATACAATTTATCATTGAGTCAAATGCTGACTGACGTTTTTCACACTACGTGTAATTGTTAGGCCATTATTTACACACTGAATTGTCGACGGATTTTTCCGTTATTTCCCGATCATGACAAGGAGCACACGGCGGGTGTGACCGGTCGGCAGGGGATGCTCACTCTTCCATGGCACCTGATCCCACCTCTGATGTTTGGAGGTCCGTGTTTGCTCTGCTCCTATTTTGTAATGTTTTATGGACTTTTGAGCTTGAATACTGTTCGTTATCTCCATATATTTCATGCATATGGTGTTTGTCTCCCATGATATTCGGTACGCAAGAGCAAGTTCTGAGTACCATAATTACCAAAACGATGCAATGTACTAACAGATAGGTTGATGTTATAAGACTTTCGGCTCGTTTAAAGTCCTCATTTTGCAATTTGCTATATTCGATGTAATGAATTTGATTGCAAATGCAACAATTGTTGGATCGAGTTCTGACTACTATGTTACACATCATTGGTTTAGCAATGATTTTTATACTAGTTTTGACTACAAGTTTCTCCGATACCTAATCAATATTAAGTTTGAACGATCAACAGGTGATGCTTTCTCCTCAAGGGCACCTAATCCCACCTCTGGTGTTTCCAGGAGTGCGTATGTTTCCCTGTTCACGATTTGTATTGTTTACAGGATTTATGAAATCAATCACATTTCGTATTTTTTTCTTTTAAAAAGGGAAATAAATTAGAGATAAAAAAGACTCTTTAGAATTGATGTGAGGAATTTTGTCACATGTCAAAATTATGTCAAAATTGGTACGGATTGTTATTGTGTATGCTACACGAAAAACTAATTGACATTCTTTTTTTAAAAATTTAAATGATAAATAAATATTAGAATGTTGCTTTGATGTGAAAAGTATACGGACACATGAATATACATTGCTATATCATTGTTGTACTTTATTATGAAATACCTCTTTTACACACTGTATTCAATATAGAATACTAAAAACTTTGAAGATATTGTTAATATGTACTTGTAAAATGGTATTGTTGGGTTTCGTTATCTTTTTTAATGTAATGAAGCATCTAATTTTTAAATTTTACTTTTTATTCAGCAGTAAAAACAATGCATGCATATATATACCTTTCTAACTTTGTAGAGCTATTTATAGCACATGAATTTCTAGCTTATGTATTTAGTTGAGTATATATTTTCTCCATCTTTCAATATAAAATAGCAATATAACGAGAATTTTCCACTGTTGATGTATCGTCACCTTTCATGAGATCGTTGCTGAACGATGCTTGGGTGAATAAATTTCAAGTTTGTTCAAATGAAGTGCAGTTCTTCGACAAGGGTAGATAATTAGGGAATCTAGTAGAGGAAATAGGGTTAGGTCATTTAAAACTCATTTAAATCGGGGTGTGACCAAAAAAGGTAATTAAAGTTTAACAGAGAAATATAGACTTAGGGAAAATCTTTTAATTCCTCTCCTTAAGAACAACAGGGCCAAACTTATTTTGATTGTCTGGAGTCTCTTCTTGTAATCTGTTTTTTAATCAAAACATGCCCCCATATATATAAGAATATCAACAGTCCCGTTTAAAGTCATCATTTCGTACGTTCTATTGTCGATACAATGGCCTTGTCAGCAAATACAGTCTATCATTAAGTCAAATGCTGACTGACTTTTTTCATACTAATTGTTAGGCCATTATTTACACACTGAATTGTCTGCTCTGCTCCTATTTTGTAATGTTTAATGGACTTTTGAGCTCGAATGTTGTTCGTTATCTCCACATATTTTATTGAAAGATCGGGGTTAACTAATAAGATATAGTTGCATATCATTATTTACACACTGAATTGTCGAAGGATTTTTCCGTTCTTTCCCGATCATGACAAGGAGCACACGCGGGAGTGACCGGTCAGCAGGGGATGCTCACTTCTCCATGGCACCTGATCCCACCTCTGATGTCAGAGGTCCGTGTTTGCTCTGCTCCTATTTTGTAATGTTTTTTGGATTTTTGGGCTCGAATACTGTTCGTTATCTCCACATATTTCATTTTACCTTCATATCTGAGAAATATGAGCTAAATCGTACTATAATGTCGCTGATGACCGGGGTATATGGCACAAATATGCAATTTGTCGTCGGGACAATAAAAGGTTACTTGTAAGAAAGCATTTCGACGTTACTTTTTACAACGTCTTCTGGTTTTTGAAAATAGGAAACCTGACTTGTTCAGTAGCGACATAAGGAATCATCTAGCTGAAGGCTAAGGCCTCAAAATATCAAATATCAATTAGTTTTATTTTGAAATGTTAGATCATATTCTAACAGGATTTTAACGCTTACAAGAAATCAGAAAGAAGTGATGAAAACTTTAGAAATGCTGTTGTTTCTTGAAGTATTTTGTTGATATATATTTGCAAAAAATGTGCTTATTTTTTGTCTTACACAAAGAGTAATGTCATTTCTTAATTCCGTTCAATTATTAAATACTGCTACATCCTCATTCCATAAAGAGGAAATATATCCAGGGCTGCTTTAAAAATTCCAAACTGAAAACAAACCTACAAAGCCTTACGATATTCTGATAGGTAACTAACTGGAAAATCTGCTTTAAGCAAGAAGTATATAAATAATTTCAAATTTCTAATTTCGGGATTGAGTTAATAAATTTCCCCATGAGAAGAAGAAAACTCTTGCTGTTGTCTTCTTCCGGCATTTAAATATATTGACGACAATAATCAATTAACAGTAATTATCTTTTATTCATATATCGTCTCGATATATCCTAGTAAACTTGAAATAAAAACACCACGCAGTCTCCAACAACTCTTTCATAAATGAATGTTTGCTGACTGACCAAAAATGGCAATGGCCATTGCAAGTAATAATCTATGGGACAAAAGGGATGACATCAGCTTTTCTTGTCAACTTTATTTATCAGCAGTAATATTCACTATAACTTGCACATCTTTTTTTTTAAAATGATTTAGTTCAAAAGGCATACCTTGAGTATAATCAATTATCAAATTGACATAGGCTACTGATAGATAAGTTGACATTACAGGCCTGTAAAAAACCCTTTGAAAATCAACATTTCATAAACTCTTTGGTAGCTATTATGAAATTTTGGAAAGAGAAATTATCGTTAGGTCGAATTTTTACTGGAATATTTCCTATCAGTCGTTAGGCATTGTTAATCACATTTTAATTACGGATTACTAGTATTCCGTTTATCTGATCAATGTAAAGTGCTAAAGTCCTATGTGACCGGTCGACAGGGGATGCTTTTACCCTATAGGCATCTGATCCCACATATGGTGATACAAATGTTCCGTGTTTTGTAACTTTTACGATTTTTACTGGATTTCATATTTGGATATTTTTACGAGAAAAAAGAAGTTAATGATAACCTAATAACAAATCTTAATGATAAACGTGATGACTTCAACATTTCTATCGTCAACTTCCCTTACTTAAGTAGCAATATACCCTTATCACCTTCATAAGGGGTTTACATCTCCAAGTTGATTCGATATGCAAAAGCATGCTCTATGTACGAACAATTTCTAAAACGAGGCAAGCTATTAACAAACAAGTTGTTGAAACAGGAATATCAACAGTCTCGTTTAAAGTCATCATTTCACAAGTTCTATGGTAGATACAATGACCTTGTCAGCAAATACAGTCTATCATTAAGTCGAATGCTGACTGATGTTTTTCGTACTAATTATTAGGCCATTATTTTCACATTGAATTGTCTACGAATTTTTTCCGTTTTCCTGATCCTGACAGGGAGCCCAAGGCGGGATGCTCCATGACACCTGATCCCATCCCTATTGATTTTAGAGGTCTGTGTTTGCTCTACTCCTGATTTGTATTTTTTTTTCTATGGACTTTTTAGCTTAGTTACTGTTCGTTACATGTATCTCCATATTTGATTTATGATACATCTCACTGTTCGTTATTTTGTACTTTTGTATCATTGTAAAATTATACATGTATATGCAACTTAATTACATAAGTTTTATTTATGAATGCAATTGTCAACATTAAATTAAACAATTAAAAATTATATCAAAATTAAAGTTTTAAAATGCTTTCATATGAATGATGTTGTTTCATATGTATGCGTTAAAACATCAAAATGTATTTCAATCTTATGTACTATTAAGCATGATTTACGTAAATAGAGAATGACGCTTATTAAAAAAAAAATACTTTTCTTTTTTTAATTTTCAAGGAAAACCGAATGTGTTTATTCAGAAAAAAGGAAAGCTTGTGTATTCCCAAAAAATTAGAAAAATACAAATACAAAGGAAAACTCGTGTGATGACAACAGTT